TCCGTGCATAATAACTTTCCTCTTTCTGATGCAATAAATGCATTAAAGCTCTCAGGACTTAGAATTTATGGATCACAACAGTCAATATTTCAAATCAATCTTCCAAATAACAGCATTAAAGCTCTCAGTACATGTTTTTTGTTTTTTGGAGACATTAACAGCCAAAAAAAGCTACACATGGTTTCATGGGACAATGTTTGTTTGCCTAAACAGAAAGGAGGTTTGGGTATTCCTTCTATAGCTGCAATACAACATGCTTTTAACTGTTCTGTTATCCAACGTATGTATAATTGTCCTTCGCCTCTATCCACTTGGTCATCTGCTCAATACATCTCTCCTTGGAAACCCACTACTCATAAAGACAGTAAATTCTGGATAAATGTCTGTAAAACTGCTGCTAGTATAAAGAGGAAATTCAAATTTGTGATTACTCCTAATGCACGCATTTCTGTGCGTTGGGATCACTGGTGCTGTAATATTACCCTGACGGAATATGTGGGTGGTATTTCCCTGGATTGTTTCATTTTTCCTTATCTGAAGAATTACATATTCAATAAAAACTGGGTTTTTAACATCAATATTCCTCAGATTTTGAAAAATGCTGTTAGCAATTTTAAAATTCTGGAGAGTGAGGGCTCTTGTTTGCTTTGGAAGGACTGTGCTCACCCTAAATTTAGAGACTATATCAAGGACTTTTACTCTGATTTACCTGATAATAATTGGCACAATTTTGTCTGGCACAAAAAAGGTATGATTAAGCATTCGGTTTATGTGTGGCTTGCTTTGGTTGGGGGTTTGAAAACTCAAGATGCCTTAAGGTTGAGAAACATAAATGTTTCGGTGAATTGCTCTTTGTGTTACTCTGCTCCTGAAACTATTAATCATATCTTCTTTGATTGCCCTTACTCCTTTACTATTCTCAGCTCTATCATACCTGGTAGTATGAATTTTCTGTTACGGCCTACTATTTTGCAATTATTCCACTGGATGGAGACTGAATTTTCTGGAAACACATTGAATTTCTACTTATTGACGGTTTGCACTTTAATCTATCATATCTGGAGGGAGAGGAATAATCGGAGATTTGGCAGTGATGTTCGAAGTGCCTCTTCTCTTAAGTATTTTGTGAAAAAAGTGGTTTTTAGCAGAGCTTGTAAATGGAGAAATTTTGATGAGCTGTTGGAGAACTTCTAACCTCAAGGACCCTTTTTTAGCTGAAGATTGCTGGTGGGCTGGTTCTTTAACCAGGACAATGATGAAGCTCCTTTTAAAACATAAAAATTCCCCTCGGATGGTCTTTGGGCAACCAGGGGAAACATCTTCGGTCCTCTATTATTTCTCTGAGTCCTGGTTAAAAGTATATTGGAGCTGGTTTAATATTAACTGGTGATTTATGGTATTCAATTGTAACTGCAACCTGCTGCAGTTTTGCTCTCCCTGTCTTTTTTTTATGTCTTAACAGGAAAATAAACTACAGTGAAACCTGGAAGGCTTCTTCTGCTCTATGACTGGATCGGTGCTCTGGCTTCTCGTGCTGAAGATGCATTATCATTCTGGTTCAATCAAATTCTCGATTGTGGCCGTGTTTGGCTAGAAGTGTTACTTTTTTATTGTCAGCATTGCTTTTCTTTTACTCTTTGATGGATTTTATATCTGAGGTGTTTTATTTGACCATACATAAGGTTTTGTTGTATGCTTATGTATGGTAGTTGTATTGTAGAACTCTTGGTTTTTTGTAATCTTTTATGCATCAATAAAAAATTTGGGCCATGGCCCCAAAATTTCCCAAAAAAAAAAAGTCACATATGTCTCAACTCTATAAATAGTAGCAGTTCATTAACATGCAAGTGGTACGTTGGTAACATTTTCAGGAAATAATTTCGTAAATACCCGGCTATGGCAAGCCCATACATGGAAAAAGGAAATGCCAGGAATGACCATTCAGATTATAACAAATTGAATTCAGAGAATAAGTTTAAATAATAAGCCATAAATATAAAGGAACGACATAACTATTTATTTATCAAAATCATATATAGATTTAAACGAAGTAACGAGATTAAAATTATGGCTAGTTCACAGATAGAAGAATAAAAGAAAGCCAAAATTAATCCAAAAGCTAGCATTTTGCGACCAAACAATCAAAAAATTTGGTTGGATAGAAGATCTGAGCAACCAAATCCCATCTGAATTTACTAAAGCTTATTACATCCTACTCAAATACAGATGTTGACCTCGATTTTGCCCAAACCCTTGGTCAAAG